TCTATTCTATTCTATTCTATTCTATTCTATTCTATTCTATTCTATTCTATTCTATTCTATTCTTATATTCTCCAATAACTATTCTATTCTATTCTATTCTATTCTATTCTATTCTATTCTATTCTATTCTATTCTATTCTTATATTCTCCAATAACTATTCTATTCTATTCTATTCTATTCTATTCTATTCTATTCTATTCCATTCCAGATTCTATTCTATTCCAATGTCCAACATTTCCTTCTCTTTCTTCCTTCAGAAAAGCGGGCAATCCTTTGGAAGGGAGACATTGCTGACCACGCCAACAGCCCCCAAGTCTCGGCACGAGTCAATTTCTAAGGATTTTATCCACCTGGATGTTTGGGACAAGAGGTTGAGTCATCGCGCTGGCATTTCGGTGGCCTATTTCTGCTCAAAGCCATGCACCGTTACGTTAGAAGCCGTAGCTTCCTTGGACTTCAGGAAGACCATCTCGGTGTACAAGAAACGATGGGACGGGGGTCCGGTTTGGAAGAACCGAACGGTCAGCTTGAGGTTCCCCAATAGTATGGTCTTCAGAGACGATTATCTGATCCAACAGTCGGTAAATGTGCACTGGGTCATCCTGTATGCCTGGATTACTCCGAAGGAGCCCACGGTCCACCATGCTCCAGAAGCAGGCAGCTACTGGCGTGCAATTGCCCGGGATTACCGCTTTTTGGACCCGGTTCCACCTTTCGAACGTCCGTACAAGGAGCATAAAGTATGCTTGACCTGGAGCGTGGAACAGACGTGGAAACTCCGAGCGAGCAGGATACCCCAATGTCCTCGCGAGAACGGTAGGGACTCACGGATTTCTTCTCCCTGGCAAACCACGTTGTGAGTTTGCAACTATTGAATGTGGACCTGTAGGCAGTCCTTTCTCAATTGTTTAGCATGAAGGAAAGTTCTGTCATCTAAGACCCTTTGCAGGGGTCTCTGTCCAAGCCCCCTAAGCAGGGGGTTGGACTAGAAGACCTCCAAGGTCCCTTCCAACTATTCTACTCTACTCTACTCTACTCTACTCTACTCTACTCTACTCTACTCTACTCTACTCTACTCTACTCTACTCCGTTCTACTCTACTCTACTCTACTCTACTCTATTCTATTCTATTCTATTCTTCTGTTCTATTCTAATTTCTATTCTATTCTATTCTATTCCATTCTATTCTTCTGTTCTGTTCTAATTTCTATTCTATTCTATTCTAATTTCTATTCTATTCTATTCTATTCTTCTGTTCTATTCTAATTTCTATTCTATTCTATTCTATTCTATTCTATTCTATTCTATTCTATTTTATTCCATTCTATTCTTCTGTTCTGTTCTAATTTCTGTTCTATTCTATTCTATTCTATTCTATTCTATTCTATTCTATTCTATTCTATTCTATTCTAATTTCTATTCTATTCTATTCTATTCTAATTTCTATTCTATTCTCTATTCATTCCATTCTATTCTATTCTATTCTATTCTATTCTATTCTATTCTATTCTATTCTACTCTACTCTACTCTACTCTACTCTACTCTACTCTACTCTACTCTACTCTACTCTACTCTACTCTATTCTATTCTATTCTATTCTATTCTATTCTATTCTATTCTATTTATTCCATATTCTATTCTATTCTATTCTATTCTATTCTATTCTATTCTATTCTATTCTATTCTATTCTATTCTTAACCTTGGCTTCCTTTGGCCTTTAAGTGGGAATAGCTATTGCTGTGTTGAAGTTAGCTAGTACCTATGGAGATTCTTAGTCATCCAGGTCAGGGTTGTCCCAGAGATGCTTTTTTCAAGAGGCAAATAGACTTTCTGGTTTTTCTTTGAAGACGTTTCGCTTCTCATCCCAGAAGCTTCTTCAGCTCTGACTGGATGGTGGGGAATGGAAAGAGTTATACTCCTTGCAGAGAGCTGGTCATTTGCATCCTTTTGGAGAGTCCTTGAGGCCACCTGGAGCTTATAAATCCTTCCATTCCCCACCAATTCAGTCAGAGCTGAAGAAGCTTCTGGGATGAGAAGCGAAACGTCTTCAAAGAAAAACAGGAAAGTCCAGTTGCCTCGTGAAAAAGCACCTGTGGGATGAGTGAGCTGGTAGTTCCTGCACCAAGAGGAATGTAAACAATTTTGCTTGCTGAATCCCCAGTAAATGCTTGCTAAAAATGAAACCCCAAATGTGGACATGGGACAAGGTGACGGCATGAATAGGAAATCTGGGGAACGGATGTGCTTAAAGTACATTTAGAACTAGATGATTAGGCTGAAATATATCTCTATATCTCTATCTCTATCTCTATCTCTATCATCTCTATCATCTCTATCTCTATCTATCCATTTAAAAAAACCAGTTGAAATGACCCTTTGCAATTCCTTTGATTGCATTAAGAGCAGTCTTGTTTTTACAGACGTGGTGGAGATCCTCACCTTTCCGTATGCATCCAGTGGAGAGGCGACAGGAATCGTAAAGAAATTCCAGAAATTTCAAAACAGCGAACTTGAAGCCATCCGGAAGCATCATATGAGTTACCCAACGTAAGCAATCTCTAGCAATAAAGATTATTATTATTATTATTATGGATCATCGCACAGTCAGCTAGATGTTCAGACTGGATTTGGCATTTTTGTCTACCTATCGAGTCCTTTCCCAGGACCTGGGATAGGCAGATGTGGATGTTTGATGGTATTACAGATCTCGTCGCAGGATGGAAGCAGTTCCTAGTAAGGCCGCCTTTTGCAATTGACTAACGGCGAATTTGTCAATGCCGATGATAGTGTCCAAGTGGTGCTCCAGTTGTTGTTGTTGTTGTTGTTATTATTATTATTATTATTATTATTATTATTATTATTTAATTATTATTATTATTATTGTTTTCGGTAATGTGCATAGGGCTGTCCGCTTGTTTATCCAGCGACATTTAGGCAAATCTGTTTAGGCAACTTGATTCAACTTCTCTCAAGATTTCAGACTTAAGTGGCAATTGTGAAGCTGTTTATTTGTTTGTTTCTTTTTTTTTGTTAAATGCCTATCTTTTGGGGGGCTTCTTGCAAAGGTAGAGGTAGGGACAAAATTTATACAGTCAGAAACTTGATTGCTTTTCTGGAAACATTAATTCCATCTCATTAAATAGTAATTAGTAATAGCAATGTATTTTGGTAATAGACAACCATTTGTCTGAAATGGGATAAGGTTTCCTGCCTGAGCAAGGGGTTGGACTAGAAGATCTCCCAGGTCCCTTCCAACTCTCCTCCTCCTCCTCCTCCTCCTCCTCCTCCTC